GATCAACCCCCGAGGTTTCAATCTTATATTTCTTTCTCCTTTTTTTTTTTTGTGGTAATGAACTTTTCACAGCTCTTTTCATAGAGAAAAAATGTGGCAGGTCCCTATACTGCATTTATATAATGGGTGTATCTAATCTGAAGCTCTTTGCTTTCTCCCTTGCCATTTTCAGCTCCCAGACATAATAAACATCACTGTAACTTGTACTTTTATTAATAACCATGCCTCTCTCCTGCCCAATAAACCAAAGGAAAACCTTTAAGAAATGATAGCTGAAAGGCCCTGAAGATTATGAAAAAAAATTCTATACTAATGTATAGCATTAGTGTTCTTAAAATCACTTAGGAAGCTTATGTTTATTCCCTACTTACTTATTTATTTTATTTACACGTTCATTCCAACGGTGGATTCATACCAAATCAACAATATATTGTATTAACGTTAATGCAAAAAGCTTGAAAAATTATTTATACTTGCTTTACACCAGCTGTTTTTCAAATGTTATATCTTTGTTTATGATTAAGCTGTCCAATTGAAAATATGTTGAACAACATGCAGGTAATGTAATATGTTTATTGACTATGTGTTTATTAATTCTGCGCATCTTCAGATATTTTTTTAAGACTATGTATGTTCATACCATAGTACAGGGGTAGGCAACCTCGGCTCTTTTATGGGTCATGGACTTCAACTCCTAGAATTGCTGAGTCAGCATAGCTGACTCAGGAATTCTGGGAGTTGAAGTCCATGAGCCATAAAAGAGCCGAGGTTGCCTACCCCTGCCATAGTAGTATTGTAGTATTAGAAGGTAAAATCTGCATAGAATTTAAAAGGCTATTGTCCTTGGTAACCCTTTATATAAGCGCTTGATTTGAAATGTGACTTTCTACTCTTCTGACTTGGGAGACATTGAGATTGTCATGGGAAGAGTTTGTTGTGGGGTGCCTCAGAAAGTTTTATCAGTGGTGCCACTTTTTCAGATGTTAGTTTTCCTGTTTTTGTTTTATTGTTTCTACATATTGTTTCTATCCTTGGGTTGTGAGCCACCCAGAATTTGGTTTAAGATGGATGGCTATATACATGTTTTAGGTAAATAATTACAAGCAAGAAAGGTCAGATTGCCAGGCAAGTAGCAATTTTTCTTGACACTAGCAAGATCCATAGCTTTTATGTTGCATCCCTGTGTCTAAAGGAAGCTTTGATATGTAAGTCAGCTGTCCTCTGATTCTGCTAATTTATTCAAAAATAAAAATAAGAAACTCACTCAGGCTGTCATATGCTTAGGAAATAAAAAGTGTCATTGTTACAATAGCACCAAAGGGTATGTGGTATCCATGCCTTTGATAGGGTATTGCCTATGTGTTGTAAGTTCCCAGTAGCATGAGCTTAAATGGACTCCAGAAGATGGTAGAGGACAGGAAGGCCTGGAGA